CACTTGTTACTGTGTCAGATGTAAGCGGGGGGAAAAAAAAAAGCGTTCTTGATCCAAGACAAGAGACTTGTATTAGGAAATGTTAATCGGGCTTTTCAAATATCACTGGCTTCTGCTGTGCAGCCCGTAACGCTTACAAATTCAGTAGCTTTATTTTTCTTATGCAGGAAAAGTGTACTGGCTAATTCTTTAAAAGTAAAGCCACCTGAAAGTTATGACAGTTATAAGTTTCACAAAACTACTATAACACTGAAATATATTTCAGTTTTTTAATTTTATGTTACAAGATTATCCAGTCTTAAAATATCAGTTATTTTGAGGAGTTTGAAGTGTAAGACTGAAGCAGACGACTTTCTTTTTGATAGTCTTATTTATAATAAAAATAATGATTTGAGGTGGATAACATTATGAAAATTTGTGCTGAGCATCATTAAACTTGAGACTGAGCTTAAAGTGTTGGTCACTGCGTGTGCCTTGTCTAACCCAGAATTTCTTCGTTAATCACCAGCAGAGGTCAACTGATGATGTTCCCATTAAGGAAATCTTGGACTAGAAATTGAGTAAAATGTGTGTGTGCTCAAATGCCGAGGTGGCCAAACCTCATGACATCCAGCAGCATACCAGATCTTTATGTGGCCGAGGAACACTGCGTGCTTCGGAGCTGGGATGGGCGAGAGGAGCGTATGGATGCAGTGACAGTGATTCCCTAGGGCTCCTGGATCACGGCGGGAGGGAGCTGGGTCCTCTGTTGTCTCAGGCTCTCAGAGTCTGCAGTAGTTGTGTGACAGAGCTGCGCTCAGGCTGCTGGCAAACTCACGTGGCTCAGGCAATGAATTGGCCCTGTACAGTTGTAATATCAGAAAGCATCGTAAGTGCTATCTGCCGTATGTTTGCATTGTGGTGTTTTCCACTCTGGCGTCAGCTGTTTTGGTCAGGTAGGGTACAAGGTGTGATTTGATGAGTTTGTGAACTTTCACATTTGGCCAAAGTTCACTGTGTTAACAAGCTTAACCAAGTGTTACCTTGCATCACTTTTTGAATCACTTTGTTATTGTATATGCAAATAAAGCATATGAAGTGTAACTATAGCTTCCTGTCCTTCTGCAGTATTCTCACCTCTGGCTGGATCCAAGTATTCTGCAAATTCGTTATCACACTTCAGCAAATGCATGAGCAGTTCCACCTTATTTGTAATGAACTACCTCTTCAGTATTTCTAAATTAATAACAAGATCCAACAAGTGTTGGATGTTCTTCCGTTTTCGTCTTGGTATATGAAGTAATCTGATATTAGTATTAGTGTGATTGTATGTGAAATGAATGTACTAATGATATGCATTTAAATTTAATTTCTTATTTCATATCTTTTTGTTTCCACTTCACAAAAAACTCAGATTTGCGGTAGTTTTAAAAGGCCTGTGTCTTGAAGACAGGACAAGTAACTCAAGCATCATGCTTTCTTCTCTGTAAATCTGATTAAAAAACCCCTTAAAGCTATAAAGCTTAATTCAGTACTCATGCACTCTCTAATAATGTCAGTGTAGGGTTGAATAGGAAGGAGTCACCTTTCAAGATGTTTTTCCGTAGTGAAACGTTAGCACATTTTTGTAGGAAAATCCCATCCTGCCATGCCTGCTACCTTATGCCATTTGACTTGTGGTTTATGTATGACTGCTCTATATATCAGGCAGTGTATCATGATAGGTTTGGAATTCAGAAATACTTTTCTAAAGAGTTTGTATTAAATAAGACAGAATGGATAACTTTGTTCCTTCCTGAAAAGCAATTTGTGTGTTTAGTGTGACATTATGTATGAAATCTATTTAGGACAGTATTTAGAAGAGCATTTTTCTTCCCCTTAGTTTGTGGCTTGGGCTTTTGTTTTCATTAAGAAAATGAGTTAGACTCCTGGTAAATTCAAAGTATACCAAAATTCTTGCCAGGTCCAGCTCCCAGACAAGCTCTTAAGCTACATGTGTCAAAAATTAAAACACTAAATCGAGATCAGTGTAAAGCAAAATGTGATATTAGCTACAGAGTGCTACTTGTTACAGAGATGAAACCTGGGGAATGCTGCAGTTGCTGTATGCTGAAGGTTATTCGTCAGTGAATGTTAGAATAAGCTTTTCTGCAGCCATTGTGAAGAGAGGTGGTTGGATGCCTTAATTCAGTACGCTGTTTGAAACAATACAGGAGCACTTTTAGTTCTCTTTTGTGGGGGATTTAGAAACAGATAGCTTAGTGTAACAAATAACTGCAAGTTGCTATTTGTGTTCCATTACAGTGACTGCAGTTACTCTCTCATTTGTTAAACTTTTGTTTAGATGTCAGAACACTGTTGCAAATTATCAACAATCTTGTACTTCCAAAGAAAATTAAAAGTTTCTAGACAACTTTTAATTTAGCTGCTGTTATATAGTTATTGAACTTGTGACAGTGCTTGGGTATCTGCTGAAGCAAAAGTCCCAGAAATAGATGACAAAAGCTGTTGTAACCTGAAGGAATTTATAGAAGATAAAGGGTTAAGTATTGAAATGTGTTAAATAAAGACCAAGAGTGATTACTGTGTGCTTAGCAAATAGTACCTGTGCAGCTTAGGGCATGTCTTTAGGATGACATTCTGCTGTAGTCTGAGGTAGTCTGGTTTGAAGAGTTTGTGTTTCTAGAGTTATAAAACTTAGTACAGGATCTAAACATATTCTCCTGATTCAGATGTCAGGCATAATTTTGCATTAATATTTGCAATAAATCTAACAAAAATTGCTTTATAAGCAATTGGAGAGTGGTTTTGGTGCATAAAAATATGCAAAGTCTTGGTGAAAATCTAGTGATCTAAGTGCTGATTATCAGCACTTTGGTAGGTGACTTTCCGTATAGAAAATTTTAATTGTAACAATCACTGATCGCTTCTGTTAATTTAGAAAATCAAAACCCCTTAAACTCTACTTAGTTGCGAGAGAAAAACTTGTTCAGTATTTTTTTCTGGCTTTTCTTTTGGGAGGAGTGTGGGTGTAAGCTTGTTTAGCAAAGAGATATTTCAGGAAGTGACATTTTGTAGCTGGAATAAAAACTAAGTCTTAGTGGCTTGGAAGAAAACCAAGTATCTCCTAGCATGCTTCAAAAATGTGCAAGTATTGAGAACAAAATACGTAAACAATGTTTTAGAGAGTCAACAGAGCATCACAGTATAATTCAGTGAGGATGACAACATACATAAAAACAGTTGACTCTGGAATATATGACTGTCTGGATAGCCAAACATAATTAAGCATGGCAAGTAGTTCTGAAATGTAGCTTTGACTGCTGGCAAGATGCAGTATTCCTTAGGGTGAATGAGTTTGGCAGCTTTTTTTGTCTTACAAATGGGGATGACATAATTTTGCTACATTCGTATTAAAATAAATTAAAACCATCCATGGTGAAAAGATAAAGGATAGAAATTTGTTGGAGGCCTTTCTTTTTAGGGCAAAATGTAATGCTCGGTCTTTTTTTACGGTAGTATGATTAAAGGTTTAGAAATCTTGTGATTTAATCCTAATTTGTACTGTTTTCTAGTGCCCAAGATGTATGCAGTGTGAAACAAAATTTGACTTCATAACTAGAAAGGTAAGAGAAATCAATGAAGTGTGAAGCATTAACTGTTGCAAAATGCTAATGTGGTTTTCTTTTGATTTTAAAATGTAGAGGATTTCAGTAGAGTAGCATGCAAAGTCTGATGTAACTTAGAGTTACTTTTCTTTCTGTTCTGCCTTTTCTGAGTAGAGGTTCTTTTTGTTTTAATTCTGTTTCTCTGAAATTCTTCTTATTGCTCAATATGTAATACATAGTTAGGGTTTTTCCAAATTACTGGGCACCCACAGGATTTCACATTCAAAGGAAGAGTTAGAGGAACTCATGCTGGAGTGGGCTGCGAACATCAGCACTGACATAGAAACCACATCAACTAATTCAGTTGTGTTTTGGGAGGTAAAATTAGTTGTGGAAATGTAAGCAAAAATGTTTTCAGGAGTAATGAATTACAATCTTACATTAAGGAACCATATTGTTAAAATGCAGAGAACCAAAACTCAGATTCTCCTCCTGTTCTAAAAGTAAACCAGGATTTATCTTGGGTTTGGAAAAGGGAATTTCTGATTAAAGTAGAAAGTATAAACCACCTTGATTGCTGTGAGCCATAAGTAGGCTCACTGTACGAAGAGAAAACACTAGCATTAGAGTTAAATTATATTCATTATGTAAAAGTGAGCAGGTCACTGTTGAATGCATGCTGGTGTACAGAATATTACTGTTGGAAAACATTCTGCTGATACTGAGGTTTCTGCATGGAGAAGGAAAGCAGCATCCCAAAAGAGGCCAAGAATGATTTTTAGCAGAGAATATCATTCCTTTGTAGAACTACATCGACACTCTCTTAGCATGCACTTGTGAAAGTGAAGAAATATGCGGAAGTGTGACTTGTAGTGCATTGACATAGTCAATGTTTTTTAATGTATTGTTTGGAGGGAGAAGAAAGGAGAAATTGTAGACCAGACATAGTAATATGTTATACCAGATAGGTGTACATTTTCAGGATGCCTGGAGAGCATGAGGATGTCAGTTAGTGATCCTACTACTCCTAAATCATGGCATATGCTTCCTCCTGGTTCGTGTTTTACCCTTTAGTTGTATGGGTTAAGAGCATGGTTGTTGGCTGGTTAGAGCGTTTTGATTGAGAAGCACTAATTCATTAGGCTGCTGTGTTTTACTGGTGTTAGCTTTGGGAAGTAAATGGAGGTAGCCTTGGGAAATAGGTACTCCAGAGAATTGGGAAGTAGGTACTCCAGAGAATTTTGCATAATATTTGGAAGGAAAACCTAACACTGACCAAAACTGCAGTGTATCAGTTCCTTGTATCAAACTGCTCAGACTTGCTTTGAGCCACAAATCAGTTCCTGCTTGCCTAGGAATACTTGTTCTGACATGAGAACTTGCATCAATTAGACCTGCTGGGACTGTCACACCCCAGTAGCGATTTGGAGCACAAGCCACTTGTTGTAGCTGTGATACACGTTGCAATACTAGTTCTGATTTTGCAACTTCATTGGATTTGTACTACGCTGCTTGATATTTCTGATAGAGAAATAGCTTTAGGCTTTAAGTTTCCATGGGAAAAACTTGAGAATTAGTTTTCAGGGAGAAGAATAAGATCTCCAGTTAAGGTTTCCAGAGATCTTTGCTTGGAAGTGGGAAGGGACCTAGAAACCACTCTTTTCTTGTGGTTTTAGTGACAGGAAGGTGAAGGATTTCCTGGATGCTGGAGAAGCCTGTTCAGTGTCTTGTCTGGTCTGCTTTAGAAACATGTTTACTGAGTGGGAAAAAAGGCTTAGAGTGCTCCTATTCATGTTATACTCAGTTCTTTGTGTTCAATCTTCAGAGATTTCTTTCTACCATTCTAGTAGTTAAATTTCCCTTACCTATCCCTCAACTTGGATGTTTCACACCTGAGAAACTGGTCTGTTTCTTGGGGAGAAGGAGATTTAATTTAGTAACTTTATCAACTTATTCCCTAACCATTTCCTGTGTAAATACATAAAGAAAATGTTCTCTCATGCTTAGCATCACTGTCGAAGATGTGGAAAGTGCTTCTGTGACAAGTGCTGCAGTAAAAAAGTGCCTCTGCCTCGCATGTGCTTTGTGGACCCTGTGCGCCAGTGTGCTGAATGTGCCCTCATCTCGCAGAAAGAAACAGAGTTTTATGACAAACAGCTTAAAGTGCTCATGAATGGTAAGAACTGAATGTATATATATGCTGTTTTGGTCTCATTTATGTTTATTCAAATACGGTGTTGCACGAATGTGATAAGCAGCAAGAGTAATGCTCCTTGTCAAACGAGCTGCAGCTTTGTCTCCTTTAAATACTTTTTTGTTGTCATGCTGCTTGTTTGCTAGTTAATAATTCTATGTTAACTGTTTATTTAGAGAGAAGTTTACACTTTTTAGTCAATGTTTACAAAGAGTGATTTAATTAAAAACAACGGAATTTTAACACGTCTGAGAACAGATGTGTGTGCAGTTGGCATTTTTCTTAAAATAATGCATCTTCTAGCCATATTCCTGTTACATTAAATAAGGATGAAATAATAGAGAATATTCTAATATTTTCTAACAAGACACAGTGCTTGTTTCAGTCTTCATCTGTGAGCTTTGATCTTGGCCATGGCCTACAGCTGGTTGATGGCAGATCATCATGAGTGGTCAATTTTGCATAGCATTAAAACTACATGCAATTTGTGTTCCAATTACATTAAGAAAGCCAAGTCTTCAGTTTTTAAAATATTCTGTGATTGTTCAGTGCCTTTTTATGGGCTTTCAGCACGATGCCAGTGCGTATAATCAGTAAGCTAAACCACACGTCTAAGGAGTGTGAATGTTCCTAGGGAGATCCAGGTTCAGAAAGGAGTATGCTCATCCCTGCAACACACAGATCATTCTTCACTCTGCTTTGCAGGTCAGGGTGTAGATGAGTTGTTGAATAATGTATTTTAAACTGAAGATCTTTTTTTTTTAAAAGCTTGTCCACCTTGCATTTGTGTTAGGCGATTAAAGTCTGAAGTTGTTCCTGACTAACTGTAGAGCCACAGATCTCAGTCAGAGAGATGGTGGTTGTGATGTCCTTTGCAGTTTTTTGCTGTTGTCTCTGTCTCGCTTCAGCAGCAGCTTAAGGGTCCATGCTGAGGGGTCAGTGAGACTGGGTAAAATTGTGAAATGGAGAGTGAGATGAAGCTCTCTGAGGCTGCCTGGTTCAGACTATGGGGATGGATTGCAGACCATTTGGCAGGGGTGTATGTTGTTATTTTTTTCATTTTCCAGACCAACAGTATTGGCGTTAGGTAATACAGGGAGCGTGAGGCATGGAGGAAATAAAGCAGTTAGGTGTGTAGTCTGCTTTAAGTTATGAATCACTTCACTAATGTAGCTTAAGATGACATTCCTGATGTCAAAGGAGCCGTTTTGAGCAGGAAGAAACAACACGAAGGCTGAAGTTCATTGACCTCAAAGTGAGACAGCTAGCCTTCAGTAATGAAAAAGAGATGTTGTTACTATTTATTAAGCACAGAGTGAAGGTCACATCCTGCTATTGGATTCTTCTGACAGATTTTTTTTTTTGAATACTGAAACAATAGTGTGTGTTATAGTGACAAGATAGGGTCTTTAATTGCCTATTTTCACCATCTCCAAATCTGCTCTCATGTTTAAAAGATTCATCTTGGATATCATCTGTATTTCTACAACATGTGGGAGAAATTACATAGCAATTGTGAAAGGTCCTGTGATTCAGAACATGATGTTAATCAGTTTAACATTTCAATTAGTCTCTTAATTCACCCAATTTGGCATATTAGGGGCAGTAAGTAAAAGTTACTGGTTTTGATACTTGAATGTTCCTTCCTAAAATCTGCATTGGCATACTAAAACATTTCTTTCCAGGTGCTACATTCTTTGTAACTCTGGGAACATCTGATAAACCTGAGCTTATGGTTTGTCGACTTTCCAACAATCAGAGGTGAGAGACTGATAGAAATTGCATTTGTAAACTATATTATTGTTGCACTTACAGCTATATTATTGTCTAATAACCTAAACAAAATATAAGAGTAACATGTTATGAGGCTATTGGAGAGAGTAATCGGACTGAAAGGACAGGTACAACTTTATTGGAGTAAGTTGGTTTGAATTTACTAGCAGTGTGGATCAGAATGCAGTGGAAAGGTGGAGCTCCACTCACTGATAATGGCTCTCAGTGCCACTGGAATACAGAGTTTTTGCCAGCTAGTGGGAGGATCATAGGAAGGGCAGGCAAGGAGAAGTCTGTAGACACTGAAAAAAGCTTGTTTCAGAATGGTTCTAACGCTGCACCGTGTTGTTCAGTGTCCTGGCCAAAGCATGACTTTTGGTCATCCCTGTAATTCGGTTGGCTAGAACACTTTG